AGGTCAAAGAAATTCAGACACATGGACAATTCTGTGTCAATGTTAGCATGTACTTTATTGATAAAATTATACAGTAAAAACACTAGCGGCCCATAACCAAATCTCAACATTTCATACTTGACAGAATGCAAATTTGTGGCCACATTTTGGGCGAGGGATAGTTCAGTGCCATGTTGCTTTGTTGAAAGAAAGCTGGGTAAGTGTTAAAACTTGAATTATAAGGTACTGTTGGCAATTTCTGAAAAAAAATAGATGTCTCCGGTTCTATTGGCCTAACAAGTCCCTTAAAACGGGAAAATGATCTTTAGCTCAAGCTAGTGTTAAATGGAAATTTGTTACTGATGCGCCGGATATCTTTGGATTATTTTTGTCACCATCAAGGTTTTGTTTTCACACATGCCGATAGCAATTTGTTCGTCACGCAACTAATTATGCGTGAAATAAACTCGAGTCAGCATCATGTTTTCATGCCACTTTGTGGTACTCTTAATATAATAAAATTTATTTGAGAGGTGGAAATGCATGTAGGTGAGAATTTTTTTTCAATTCAACTACAAGTAGATTTTAAAATTGTCACATAACCCACACCTTCCTATTACCTACAGTGGCATGCATTTAATGCAAAATCAACAGATTACCCACAGGTAGATGGCCAGAAATCATGGTACTTCTTCTGCCCTTTTTGAGTACGAAAAAACACAGTGAATTATCTTAAAGATAAAACTAGTAGGCACAATGCAGAGGCTCTACTGAGGGGCTGAATAAAAGCCTTCATGAAACAGTATTGAGAAAAACAGTGATAAACATCTTCATGTTTCAATTAACAAAAAAACCTGAATACTGATAATTACAAAATTAATTTTTAGTACGACTACTCCAGTGATCATAGAGATGCACATACTCTGATTGGAAGAAGATTGCATCATATCACAATATTATCACCTCATACATGGTGATTATAGCAGGAGTGCTAAATTTCAGAATGGCTGCCTCATATTTTGTCAGTATTACAGAGGAAGCGATGAAGGAAATAAAGAGCCAAAAATGCTATTAAGTTTGTAGTAACACTTCAAAAGAAAGACATGAAGTTTCTGCTGGTTGAATTATATTAATTTAACAAATTCTAGTGGAAACTGGCTCTTTATCTTGATATGAATAATCAAAACAATTGAAACAGAATGGTTTTAACATCAAGATGAATATTTGAACAGAATTAGAAAGCACCTATGTATTAAATACTAAAACTATTCTTTGTCTCAGGCTCACTGAATATTGTTGAATATTTGCCAGGATGAATTTAAGGGAATTATTCAACAATATTCATCAAGCCCAAGTAAATACTTATTAAATAATTATAACAAAAATTGATAATGATAATAAAATACTAGCTGGACAACATAAAGCTCACCTCAGCCCAAGTGGTCCTGTAAGTAATACCAGGCATGGAATTGTACACTGTTAACATCAGCTTTCTGTTGTGTGCTCGTTGTTCCTTCTCCTCTTCCTTTTCCTTCTTTGTCAGGAAGAAAACTACATCCTCAAACACATCTTTCCTGTCTCTTTCATGTACAGCCTCCCACATTGGTTCACCATCAAACAATTCCCCTGCCCTGCGCCATCGCACTGAAGAGTGCATCTTAGGATGCTTTTCCAAGAAGCTACGCAAGTCTTCACGAGCCTGTTTTGCTTTTTGTCTTTGTTCCTCCTATGAGAAACACAAGCAAAAGTTTTAATCAATTTTTCATATATTTAGTATATTGTCATAACAAAGTATTTAATAAACTGATATGCTACATGTATCTATAAAGTGTAATGATTTGCCAATTTCTAGTGCAAGCTGTCTAAGGTAATCTTAAGGTACCTCCACACAGCGGCGGGTTGCATTTTAGGGCAAAAACAATACTCCCTAACTACTTCTCTCCAACTCAATACATACAACATGGCTACTGTAAAACAGATAAGGCTGGCCTTGAGAAGATGCTTGTCAATTAAATCCCCCAATACATAAGGCTCAACCTTTAGGCCTTCTGCAATGGGTACCTTGTGATTTGAACTAGCCCTAACATCCTCACTGACAGGTGACTGAGGTCATGTACTCTGCTTACTAAAAAAGCTATTGATTTCTCTACCCTTCTCCAAATAAATTCCACTTTGGCAAGTATTTAACAAGCAAGTTTGGTGTGAGGGCTACTTTAGCAGTACATTCTTGGCAGGTTGCTAGGTGTATGTACATCAGTTCTTATTCCTCATGCATGATTGCTACCAGCTCTAAACACCACCCTTTTAGGAACTGACCTCTCAGCTCATCAAATGTTGATTAGCTTAGAAATGACATGGATACTAGCAAACACTAAAATCAAGCCACAAGTATCAAAATGCTTAGCTTGTGTTACTGGTGATAGACATACGTGTGCATCTGAACCACAAATAAAAATCATGTTTATATGTAGCAATAAGACTTATTAATATCAAATCACTAGCAGTGACTGTGGGAAATATAAAGTGAATCCTGTTTTTTCATTGGCTATCTGAGCAGGCAAGACAAGCCTATCTTGCCCACTGAAGTTTACCAGCTTTGATTCCACCCAAGAAAGGCTTGGAGATGATTTACAGAATTTTTGGATGTTGAGAAGGAGTCACAAATAGTGGCCAAAGAAAGTCAAAACAAAGAACAAATAAGCATTTTTTCATGGGTTTATTGTACTACAAACACTCCAAATAATGAAGTCATTCTTGATTTTCTATAGAGCGCAATATTTTTGCTATAAAATAAATCCTCTATTGACCAAACGTTTTTGGTCAAGATGGCTGGATATGGCTGGCTGCCTTGTTCTTTTTTCTGTTTTTATGGACCTCAACTTTGTCTTGGTCCATAAAAACACAAAAAAAGAACTCTGACGGTCAATAATGCATATACACCCTGTATATCATTGAAATATAAATGTAGTATGGAAACTGTTAAGAATAAGATACCTTTTCCTCATTGGCTCTTTTTGTTTTATACTCATTGAATGCTTGTTTTTTCTCATTCATTTTCTTCAGGGCTCCATATCTGGGATCATTAACAATCATTCTCATGGCATTATCCCAAGTGGAATTAGATGGAACCTCCTGTCCATAGGAGTAAAGTCAAAAACACCACATTACTAAGTATCAAAGTTTACATATATTGCACAGAAGATACATTTTTGGTGTGTAGTATTACTGGGTATTTTAACAAGTTAAAGAGGCTGTAAGGTGAGTCAAAAAATCAACAACAAGTAAAAATGCTAAGCAATACTACACACTAGAACATCTAAAAAGTTATTTATTTATCCAACTAATTTAAAATGTTGTCCATTTTTCCTCCCTTGAAACAACTCATGAAAGAGTAACTAACCTGTCAGACAGGTTTTTTCATTGCACAGAATAACCAACTGTCCAATATCCAGGATATTTTTAATTTGTTTGCACATTATTTGTACTCTACTGTACATAGCACAGTCCGATAGAAAAATTTATCACAGTGGGATACTGTCATAGACAGTGTCCTGAATGAACTGAAATTTGAGAAATGCTCTTTAATAGCCTAACCATCCCATTAAAAGGACTAAATTTATATTAAATCATGGTTGTATTAACAAAGATCAGCACTTCACATAAAATAGAGCATAATGTTGCCAACATGTGCATGTTTAACTTTGCTGCTTGGAAATTATAGAATGGATAACAAATATAGCCTGCTAAATTACAGTACAAAATGTAAATTACATTGTTTTATGTGAGAGGACAAAGACCCTACCTCATCGAATTGCAAAATTACCATTTTGGCTTCAAAATTAAACCCCCATTTCTTTAAGGTTTAAACAGGCTCAAAGATTATTGGCACATGTACATGAACTACCACATGTACATAAATTTTATTGTTTACTTTCAAGAAAACATATCAACTTGCCTTTTCTCTCAGGAGTTCTTTGAAAGCTTGTTTAGCTTCTTCCTTTGTTTCATAAACATACTCTTTCTTCTCCACAGTGGCAACAGCTGGAGTTTCACTTACATTCACTGCACTGTTATGTCAAAGTAAAACAAAATGGATTATCACAAATGTCTAATTTTATCAACTCTTAAATAATTTGCTGTTTGTTTTTAAACTGATAGTGTTGTGAGGTCCAGAAAGGAAGAATGGTTAAATCATCACACAGATACAACATCATTCGATACGCTAACTCTGCCAGTCAACAAAGTTGACTGATAATGCAAATATGGACACATTTTATAGCTCCTTGTTGACTATAAATAAAAACCGTTTGACGACAAAAATAAAAATCACTCACAGAGGAAACACTTCTTTAACTGACCTTGCCATGGGGTAATCTTGGGCAGTTCCCTCATCAGCTTTTTTGCCATCTTTTTCATCACTTTCCTTGTTCTCATCTTCATCTTCTTCTTCTGAAACTTCCTCTTCCCTAGATTGTTTAAAAAAGTAATCGCAATTAAATTATTATCTCTGTAGCATCCTATGCCCAGCTTATATTTGAAAACTGTTTTACCTCTAAGGTGGTTTGTAAATAGTTTTTTCATAATGAACAATAAAAGAATGCATAACAATTGACATGCACGTTTGCCAGTCATTGCCAATTCCTACATTGTAACTTTGTCATTCATGCATGTTCAGATCATTTATGTAGACATGAAAGTTGGTATTGAAGATTTCAAAACTAAATATAAACCTGCAATCACTGAATAGGATTTTCAGACAAACTCAGAAAAAATGCTTGAAATACATGTACTTTTAAGGTTTTCACTCTTTGTAAAAAAGATAAACATCTCTTTACTCTGTGACCCAAAGCTGACAAAAATGGAAATACTGCAAGTGTGTCAACATGCCTTACATGAACAAGTACATATTCATTAAGTAAAATAACTAAACAACCAAGTAAAGGAAGCAAACTTTGCATCATTGAGAAATTCATACAAAATACTTACTCTTCTTGTTCTTGTTCTTGTTTTATTATTTCTGCCACAAGATTAAAAATAGCATTGGTAATTATGTACAAGAACCACATTACACCATGCTCTGTAACAAGAATGCACATAACCTCCTCCAACACAAAGCATTTGAAATTCCCATGAAAGTTAACCACTAATATATTTGTGTTAAAATATCAATAAGTGCATTCCTTGTAGCCAAACTTACCCTTAAGTTCTGCCAGTTCCTTTGGGATTGTCCAAGTTGATTCTTTGGTTTCATTGTTGTGATAATAAATTCTACCAGTGTCTGACTTGTGCTCTTTCCAAGGACAGGAGTCAAGTTGAACCTGAAACATGTCAAAGGATCAACTGTCAACAATCAACCAAAACTGAATCTATAAATTTACAGACTAAGAGACTGCAGTGTGGCAATTGATACCTGAGTGAAAAATAAGCACTTCAATTCATTCACATTCATTTTCAACAAACATGTACAAGTATTTTCTTTTGGTCTTAAAAGACATTCATATATACATGTGCACGTATGCTGTACTTCAGGTCTTTGTTTATTCAAAAATTGGTCAAACTAGATGTTATCAAGTTTTAGTTTTAATTTGTCTCAGATCCATCACCAAACTAAGAAAAAAAATATAAGATTGAAAAAATTGTAAACATAACAGGTGCCTGGAGGGGTGCTGTGGAATGGTTTCCAAAGATGACCTCCTTGCCACCTAGAGAATAACTTCCCTGCTCAAGCCTCCCATCATGCATGTAGCTCCTATACATCCATACCACTGCCTAGCAGTTTTACACTACAACTGTTGATGTACATGCTCCAAATTAACACCCTACATGTACCTCTCCTGGAGTCTTGAGTTCTGCTGGCTTTTGCCATGTGGACACTTTGGTGTCTGTATTGTAGAAGTATGTTCTTCCATCAGGAGCCTTGTGTTCTGTCCATGGGGTCTTTTTCTGCAAATTGTAAGATTACAAGAGGTTACTTCACTTCACAAAGCAAACACACTGAAATGTAATCACATACACAACACTCAGAACTACGCACAAGTCATAGCAAATATCAAGAGAACTTACAATTTCAAATTTACAGTATTGAAAGAACAGCCCTAAAATAATAATTTACTGTTTTATTATGAGATACTAGGAAGTTAGCTGCAGATATTCCACAAAAGTGGCTTTTCTTGCCTTAAGTTTCCCAGACAAATTGGAATTTAGAATATTCATTATGTGGAGGCTGGAAACCCAGAGGACTTGTAGATCAACTCTTAGAGCAAGGACAAGAACCAAAAACAAACTCAATCCACAAATGACACCAGGTCCAGGAGTCAAGCCCAGGCCACAGTAGGAAGGAAGTGCCCTCATCAACACACCACTCCAGCTTACATGTAGTAGCACTAAACTTTCATTGCTTTTGTTATGTAAAAGGTGCTTAAAATAAAACACCTGTACTACCAGAGGCTAAAACATATTGCTAGGTTCAAAGGAGGCTTGAGATAGTTTATTCATCTTTAGCACTCATTATCTAGTTTAATAGCATTAACATAACAACTGCCAACATCAAATTGTTCAAGCCACCACACATCAACATATATCTCACCCCAGGTGGGACCACAAGGTGCATCTCCATCCACATAAAAGTTTAATAAGATCAGAATAAAACTGACAACTGAACTGCTGAAGAAGACACTTCTAGCATGAAATATGCATTTATTTGAAAAAGAAGTGCTCAAAAAAATGAGACCTCTCACGGCAAAACGTACACCAGACGCTTTCTGTTTTCACACAGCTTTCCATTTACAACCTGTTTGTCAGCTGTTCAGAAAAATTTGCATCCGTTTGAATGGCTTTGGTCATCTATTCAATAGAAGCATCCACGAATGGCTTGGTCATCCGTTCATCAAAAACATCAGCCCGTTCAAATGGATTGGTCATTCATGCGTTGAAAAACATCAGCCCATTTGAACGACTTGAACTATTTTCTGTCAAACAACTTGTATCATCCATTTGGAAGGTTCAAAGGTTCATTCATTGAAGGTAACTCCATTCAAGCAGCATCAGTCATCTGTTCTAATATTTAGAAGATTTGTCCAACTTCATTAGCTCAAATTTCGACCATAAACACTGTGCATACACAGGCAATCACAGATTTTTTTTCCTGATCTTTCTCAGACAACCCCACACAATAAAAACTTTAGCTTTCTGTATACCCAGCATTCTCCCTATACAGTATTTGGCTTATTAGAGCTTGAATTGAGTGTAAAAACACTTTTTCACCGTTGATGCGATAATATTCATTATTACACAAAGAATCTATGCCAAAGACACAAGTATGTTAACAATGCATTTCAAAAGAAGCCAGTCAAACACCTAGACTTTAGCTGTTTGTGTGTTAATATTACAAAATCTTTTTTGCCATCAACTCGTTTGTTAGTCAATAGGACCGCTTAGAAACAATGGATTGGATAGTGTTGCGTTACCTGTCACACATGTCTACTTTATGCAAATATCACAAGATTGTACTATATTAAAACCAGAAATGGAATCGTGCACAGATGTTTACAGCATCGAATTCACTGTCAGAAGAAAAGATAAAGGGAACAATTTGGCAACATGCAAAGCTGCTAGAAAAAAGTTGTAGTCGTGCTTTTGTGCAATAAAGTGGCAATAAACACTTGACACAACAAAGATAAATAATGACAACTTGAACTTCAAGGGTTGTTCAAGTTTTGCTTTTAATAGAAGATGTGGAACTAAGTCTCAGTTACCAAATTTGAATACTTCATCAGGCAATTTTATAGTAACTGTGGGAAGTCAATATTTTTGTTACATCAGAACAGTTGACCATCCATTGGAACATTCTTTAAACATGAGGTTCCAACAAAACCTGGATCAGACCAGATCTGTCCATTTGTTCAGAGTGATAACCTACCCTTCAGCCTTTATGACAATTGTTTTTCATGAGCTGATCAAAATTAATCATAAACCTGTTCATCCGTTATGTTAACCCATTTGAAAATTTTCACAAGCTATTCAGTCATTTGTGTGACCCATTTGATAATTTTCACAAGCTACTCAGTCACTTGGGTTACCTGTTTGAAAATGTTGAAATGTTGACAAGCTGTTCAGTCATTTGGGTAACCTGTTTGAAAATTTACACAAGCTGTTCACAGTACTTGATAACCCATTCAGCTGTTTGATAGCATCTGTTCAAATGGGCAAGTTACCCGTTTGTTACCTGTTCAGTAGCCGTGCGTTTCACCCATTTAACAGAAAGCCATTAGTATACCTTTCTCTCTGAGAGGTCACAAATTGTAACTTTCTAGTTTACATAGAATTATTAATCTTATCATAACTTTTGCTAGGGACAGTGGCCATCATCCTAAAATGTAACCTGGCTGTAGAAATAACCAACCTACACATTCAGGGCGTGAAATTAATTTTTTTTTCTGATAGCCACTTGGCTCCTAAATTCTTCAAAGTAGTAGCCAATTCAAAAAAAGTTGGTCACCATTTTCAAAGAAACAAAATCTTTCTTTATGCTGTCAGCATTCTAGATAGACCCTCCAAAATTAAGTTAGGGAAAAGATCTTTAATGTGCAACAAAGTGGACACTAGGATGGATGATATGCAATGTTAAAGCTCATCTAAATCCAAGATGGCGTCTAGTTATTGATCGAGATGTATGTGCTACGTTTTCGCAACAAACTTAACAAGGAAGTTTGCCGCGGATTTATCTCTGCAAATCTTTTTAATTCACTATATCTCTTGGTAAGGTTATGATGAAACACTCTAGTCGCCAATTTGACGACTAACTTTCAGGATTTGGTCGCCAAAGTGAAAAATTTAGTCACATTGGCGCCTGTGTTAGGCACAATTTCACGCCTTGCACATAATATTTTTTCAGTTGTACCTTTGGAGGTTTTGGTTTCTTGACCTTCTTCTTCTCTTTCTTGACCTCTTCCTTCTCATTCTGTTGTTGCTCAGATTTGTTGGTTTGTGTTGGGCTGTCTGCAGGTTTATTTTCTTGTTCTTGGATTTGTTTGACTACTGAAGGGGAGCTGGTGCCCCCAGACTCAGCTGCCACTTGCATAGGTCTCACAACAGCAGGCACTAAGAAAATCGCAGACAAACAAACAAATTTGAAACCATGCACACTGAGAGGCTGGAAAAAAACACTGATTGACCCTTTAAAATACTTGTGTCTCTGGATTGTGTAAATCATGATGCAAAACACCTCAACAAGTCTGCCTCAGATTATAATTCTAATAAATTATCTTCATATAGAAAACTTTAGACAAAAACTGTAGGACAGCTTGGCTGGTTGTTGAGGTTGGAATTCAACAGATTTGAGAACATGGTACAAGCACCAGGAAATTTCTTAAAAAAAAAAAAAAAAAAGCTCACTCAAAAGTTAACTAACTGATTCACTGGTTTAAATTTACATACACTATTGCTATAATAGCAACACACAAGAAGATCTGACACAATTTTTTAAACAATTTGTAAAGGACTCAACAAAAAGTTATTAAAAAGCTAATAGTATTCTTACTCATCACTACTGGTGAACCACTACTTGGTATTGGTTGAAATGTTCCAGTCACTTGCTGCCCCATAGTCTGCTGGGGAAGTTGTTGAGGATAAGGCATTCCAGGCATGCCACCTGGGGGATAAGCCATTGGCTGACCAGTTGGCATGGCAACAGGCTGAAAAGGAGGCATTCCGGGGGGACCATATCCAGGTGGCATCATTGGTATTCCTGCTACCTGTTAAACAAATACAATACATTGAGTTCACGTCTCTACATACACGTTGCTGTAAAAATGTATTGCATCACCTACAGATATACAGGTGATGTAAAGGAATGACTTGTGCTCTAAGAACAAGTTGTTGGACAGCCACAAGAAGAATGTGTGCATGCAAGAGATTAATTGCAAATGCATGCAATAAGATTTGTCTTTTGCTCTTCACTGCACTCTACTGTACTTTTTAATGCATTTTTTAAAAACTGATGTGGTTTGCAAAATAGTGTCACTCAACTTTCTTAATTATATGCAATGCTTATGGTTAACCACAATCAAGCCAAATAGATTGTCCCTTCAGAAATTGGTTCTTCAGTTGACTATAATATATTCTCTTATTTGTTTCAATTATTTTATCCTACATTATGTGTTTTGAAAAGTCAGACTGATTCATATTAGGATTATAGCCATGACTGGACTTCGCAAATTAAACATTTTCAGCATAATCAGTGCTTTCAATTAGATCTGAAGCAGGTGGCTACCTAGGTGGCAACTGCCAGAGGATAATGTGAAAAACAATTTCCCTCTCGTTAGCCCATTAGTTCCATTCAATATAAACAGGCTTTATACAGAGTCTTTGGTGTTAGACTTTGATAAATAATTATTAAATATGAGTCTCCTTTGAACCAATCATGTAACTGATCCTTTTATTTCTATACAAAACTTGACACGTAAACCCGCTCCTAGACTTTCACACAAAAGTCCTTTGAAAGGATATATGGTTACTTGTTACTGACATTTGAGTCAACATGTTCTTGAAAACCCAATTTTTTTTTTTTTTTGCTGGAAATGTGGTATATAAGACAATATTGATTTTTTTTTACCAAAACCTTCTTCTAAAGGTAAAAGTTGACTGAAAGAACTCTAAAACATCTCAAGATGTTTTAGGTCTTACTGCTGGAGTTTGCTTGAAAGCTTCCAAAAAGTCGCAGAAAGACTTTAAATAATGGCAACCACCCAAAATTGCATAATACTAAACACTTTCAACAGGAGTCTACAAAGACAATACAAGATAGTATCCTGTGTATCAACTTTCGATAAGCACTTGTTCTTAAATTTTCTTGCTAAGATCCAACCCTTTCTTCACCTAGCCAAGACTGATTCTATTGTTTTTGATTCATACATCACTTTCAGACTCACAGCTGCTTTAAGTATGATCTTTGTTTGCAGAGTTTCCTTTGGCTTGCAATTGGAAATAAACCCCTCAGTCAGACATGGTTTGATGCTACTCTGGTTTACAGATTTAATGAATGTAACCAAAGAAGTTACAATTCATAGATCCAACATTTTGACACTCCTGTCTAGTGCCTTCATCAGGGGTGATCTAAACACTACAACAAGAGGTCCTTTTACACAATCACTATTTAGCTGCCTTTTTCCCTAATGAGGTTAAATAGGCATCCAGAAGCAAGCTGCCATCATCACAATTTAAAGGAGCGTGGGTGGAGTTAATATGCCAAGCTTCCAGACAAAGGTACTGGTGGTAATGCCAATTAGTGGTGATAATTTTAGACTTATCCCACCCAATTGTATAGTTAGTTGGGCAAGTGTGCTCCAATAAAGCTGAATTTTCTTTCTTGCAAAAGAAAACCGCTTTTTGATGCTCTTTCAAACATGTACCAAACTGATGGTTGGTCTGTCTGATGTATTTGTTCTCATAATCATTGCAAGGAATAGAATAAATAGCATTCGTTTGTTGTTATTTTGTGACAGGATCCTTCAGTTTGGCAAATTAAATCAATATAATTTAAACCTCTGAGTCTCCTGTCTCAAAACACAAATGCACTTTTAGCAATTGAAAATTTTTTTAAATTATTTTTTATTGGATGAAATTAAAGGTAGGCAGCAGTGAATTACATGACTTGTATTTATTGGAAAAACCCCAGGATTATTTTTTTCCCCAGAGGTGTTCCATTAATGATGAATTCAGCCACTAAAGTTTATATAAGATAGTTGAGTTAAATAAATTAGCCAATGAATTCCTTAGGGTAAACAATCAGGTTTTCCATCAGATTGAAAACAACCATCAACCTTACATTAATTCTGAACTTATAGCTGAAGTAATGATATTGTAGTACGAGTGAAAGGGTAGACACACAAGGGCATGGGGTGAAAAGGAGGGCTAAACTTCAGAATACCCCGCAACTTTGGTCCGCCTCACTTACATGTGTCGGGAGGCTTTGAAGATCGAGGCATAACACAATAGACGCTATTCTTATTCAATGACATGTAAATGAGTTGCGGGGTATTCTGAAGTTGCTCCAAAAGGAGAAAAGACAGAGAATTCTTTGATGCACAAGAGATCTTCCCTTGGATTTCACATTACAGCCCTTCATCCCAAGAGATCTGTTTTTTCCACTCTTCATCAATTCCGTCTTGCAAATTCACTCCTATTTCTGGAGTTTGTTTGCATCTCCCTATCTTCAAAGTACATAGAAACTGCTCAAATTGCAGATTTCCTTGTCTTATTAATCAACTAAAATTATCCGAAAACACTTTTTTAATAAAAATTACACGTTCATAACTGTTGTCAAACTGATCATTCTTAGCTTACCGGATAACCACCGGGCATCATTACAGGCGGTGGGTTTCCAGAGTAACCTTGTCCACTTCCTGAGGAAGAAGGGTATCCTCCAGACGCCTGAAAAGAGCAAAGAGGAGTTACCTTAGGAAATTCTGCATCTTTCACGTGGTAAATACATTTCTCTTACATTCAAAACATACCATTTTCCGGCGCTGGCGAACAGAGTTATCGATTCACTTCTTAGTGTCAAGCGCGTGTGCTGCTGTTTCCCACAAGGCAATGTTCATCTTATACATCGTGTACGTGTAATAAGGCTTCCTTTACGCAGAGGGATCTGGGGATTACTCACTTTGGTAGTAATCATCAAAAAATGGCTGGTTTCCCAAGGTGAGGGTATTTTTCCTGATGTGCAAGACATGTCTTCCTCCGGTTGTGGCCGAAGATTTGCCGACTACTTTGTAGTCAGCGGATTAGATCTTGTAACTGGACTAGAAGCTGATCAATTGTCAGGTTTGTGAGAAATTTATACACAGTTTACTTCGCTGTTCTCGATGTGCTCATACTAACGATTCGTCACAGACCCGTGAGGCAGATGTGATTTGTTTTTTTGACATGTCGTTTCGTTTGATTTGTGCCAGTACTATTGATTAGTGACCATTTAACATTCGGAAACGTTCATGACGCCTCCACGGTTAGAAACTTTAATGTTAAGAGATACGCAGTAGTAGTTTTATTCTAGAATGTTATAATTATATATCCTAGATCTTCGTATGTCAGCTCATATTTATTTTTGAATATATTTTTGTCCCAACGTCAAGCAGCGACGGTAGTCAAAAAGTAAAATCACAGGTGCCTATATCTGTTAAATTTATACTTAAAATGAGAAGTACAGTTTATAAAATTTACTTCATAATAACTTAGGTAAATTTATTTTCGAAGTAATATTATGTACCACAGAAATAAGATATGGCTAGGTTCACGGCTGTTCTTTAGTTCCTATGGATAATTTCCACTTGAAAACAAAATTTCTGTCACAATCGCAGATGATACACAACTACCGTGTAGGTTCTTGTGGATTCATTACATCTGTTTAGATTTTTTATGAATCCATTTACTGTAGCTGTACTTTAGTTTGGCCGCATATAGTAGTTGAACTGCTTGGTTTCCTCAGCAGCTGACAAACAGAGATATCATATGTCTAGAATTCATTTTATAATCCTTGAATTTGTCTTAGACATATGAGATATCACTTCTTCCAAACCGGTCACATTAACATAATGTGCATATATTGGCTTCAGTAACTTTCCTACGAGTGTTCTTGTATTGCTTCAGTGGCTTTTTATTTGATGTTCTTTGGAAAGGAGAAATTTCTAAAGTATTCATTTTGATTCATCTGCAAAAAAAATCTTACTATTTTTTGGTTTGTTTGCTTGTTTTTTTTTTCTTTTTTTCTTTTTTTTTTTTTGTACATTAAACTTATATGTATATTGCTTGCAATTTAGAACAAAACTATTTAAGCTTAATTAGCATATGTGGTTTGATTTATGATTCTAATATGCACAGTCATACTCTATTGTACATTTTTTCTATATTTACATTGATTTTGTTTCCTTATATATCTGCAGTATTAATCTAGCAGAGTAAAGCTGGTAAATTAAAGACATTGCAAACCAGTAGAAATGCATTGTATTTAATTTTTGATGGCTTTTCAAGAATGTAACATTTGAGTTTGTGAACTTCTTTACCCTAAAATCATTCAGCCTTTGCATTTCAGTGATGAGTTGCCATTAATTGGTCATAATTATATACTTGTAAGGGAAGGTATTTCAGTCTGTGTTTGTTTCTCTTGGTGACAACCAATCGGTTTAAGTGCACAATGTTTCACCCTTAAAAGACATATTAGCTGAAAAAGGATTTACAGTGTCTCACTACCTAGGCTTGAATTGTTTAGAGCCAAAAAAGAATCAATTCAGAGTTGTTTTGTTACCATGATATGTTGTAATTTGGATAATTTCTTGATTCAAATTTTTTCAAACTATTTGCATTTTTAGTTTCCCTAGTTTCAGGTTATGAAAATGGATGAAAATAGAAAATAAGAATCAAACTGGTTTTAAAAATTGAGACCAAAAAAAAAAAAAAGAAGAAATTTAAACCATAAATTATATTTTGTAGTTTAACCAAATTTTAGGTCAAACTGGTGCCAAACAACAAAGCCATGTACCATGATTTGTTTGAATTAAACTACCTTGATAACTGAACTCAATTTAACCTGAAAACATTTTTAGCCTCAACTGACACAAATGTCATGTCACTGTTGCCTACAGTCTAATTTAGTTGTAGTGAACCAGGGATAAGTGCTAAGCAGGTTTCCAATAATGGAGTCCAAGAATATACAGCTATAGATAGTTAAATGTTGTATAGATGTAGGATGTTTTCTAAGATACGGTTGTATTGAACATGTAGCATGCCCTATATTTGTACAGTCAACTCTCTCATAAGCAGACACCTATGGTAATGGGAAAAAGTGTCTGTTGACTCACAGGAGAGTGTCACGCCAGACTCTTGTTTATGTTAAACAAATGGGCAGCTTACTTTCCCATGGGCAAATGGAGATTTTATAAAACCAATTGCCACTGTTCTGTTGGTCTGTCAAAAATCAAGACAAATTCAAGATAAAGTTTATTGCCAAGAGTCAATTATTATGTATGGGGTGTCCACTTACAAGAAAGCGTGAACAATAAACAAATCCATGTGTCTGTAAGTAGAACCATCTGCATACAAGAGTGTCTGTTAGCAGAGGGTTGACTATAGAGTTGAATTCGCTTGTATAATTTTCAAGAAGTCGTTGTTTTGTTTTTGACAATGATAATGATTTGTCCATTGCAGGTGACTCATTGCATATATCTCCTTTGGAGCGCTCTTATAAAGCCAAGGTTTTGATGCACTTTCCTTCAAATGTTGAATGGAATCCTTTTGATGAAGATGCTGTTCGTATGGTAAGCCTCCTCCCAAAATTACTCTCACTGATAATTTATTTGAAGATATTTGATCACCTGTGTTTTTTGATGATGCACAAAAACTTTTACACTTGTATCCCATCTTCATCATGTCAGATTTTTCAAATATGAAATTTATATGCAGTGCTCTACCAACTGAGCTATCAAGCCAACTGGGAGCTGGTCACTGTGTTGGTTCCAGAATAAACCTGTGAAGTGGTGAATAAATGACTGTGAATATATGTAAGTCATAAACAGTCATAACTGTGGATAAAGACATGAATATGAAAGTGATCTTCGCAGTAATGAACACTACTTAAGCAGTAGTGAAAAGTAGTGAATTTTCACGTCTTTATCTGCAGTTCAAATATGTGACTTGCATATATTTACAGCTGTTTTTTCATCACTTCACGGGTTTATTTTGGAACCAACACAGTGGCCAGCTCCCAGTTGGCTTGTTAGCTCAGTTGGTAGAACACTGCACCTGTATCGCAGAGGTCATGGTTTCAAATCCTGTACAAGCCTGAATTTTTTTCAGGCCTTCTTTTCACTACTGCCTAAGTAGTGTTCATTACTGTGAAGATCGCTTTCATATTCACATCTTTATCTGCAGTTCAAATATATGACTTGCATATATTCACAGCCATTTATTACGCTATTTATTATAATTGTGCTGAATGCCTTGGAACAGGCCATTTACTAGGGGGTTAAACTAGACCTTATACTGTGGATTTTCTCTAATTGTGTCAATCCATCCTGCATTTATTTCCTTTTTTTCTTCAGCTTTGCCTGCCTCAAGGACTAACTTTCAAGAAGGAATCCGAATGTCATGAACAACATTTTCACTCTTTTCTGATTACTCGTGAAGATGGCTCCAGGGTTTATGGCTGTGCTCTTACATTCTATGAAATTGTCAAAGATGCTCAGATCTGCAAAGCAATGGACACACTACAGGCAATGCATGATGCAGAGCTAGCCATTGCAGAATCACGGTCTCGTTCAAAATCTCCAGTCTTAGTCACAAATAATAGTGCTGCATCATTGGAAACAGATAATCGCAGTGAATATTTAAACACCAGCTCTGACATGCTCAATATTTCTAATAGAAAATCATTTAATGTTAGAGAAGATACTCTTCTAGTTTCAAAATCAATCTCTATTATAATGCCATTCCCATTTATCTCTGCTGGAAAGGGTTTCCTGGAGCAGATTTTGAGGGCGGCGCAGAACGAAGAAAATTTACAACTTCCTTTGGAATCATACATTTATAATCTCCTGTTTGAGGTGCCTCTTCCTCCTCCTGGAAAAACAATGAGGTTCAATTGCTGTGACTCAAGCATCACCTGTCAAAGACCAGGTGTAAATGAGCTCCCTCTGTTTGATTATTCATTCAAGGCGCTTTTTACTTTGCTTGGTATTGAGAACATTGTGAAGCTGTTTACTTGTACCCTGTTGGAACAACAAATTTTGTTATTATCAAATGGTAAGTAAGATGACCTAAACGGTTTTTGGAAATTATGTTACTATTAAGCTTGTCTCATGATAACCTAAATTAGAAAGCTCGTGTTATGAATTGATTTCGTAAAACCATATTTGAAGCAAGGCTCAATTAATTATAATAATATCATTGGACGATACTAATTGCTATTGCAAAAGCACCATGTATGTGAGATGATGTGTAAGGCATACAAATGTAAGATGCGGGTAAAATTTTTTATGGTTATTGCTAAGCTTCAATCTCTGAAATGATTATTTCTGCTATGATTAAACAATCATATAATTATGTACTGGTAAGATATTTTTCCATAGCTATCTTTTTTGCCATTGGGATGAGATTATTATCTATAAGGTCTAGAGTTTTATCAGGAGGATTGTTGGCAGATCTATTCAATATTTAAAATAAAGTTATTTATAACCTTTATTGTATGTTTTTGATGTCATAATTTACCATGTTTTAAGAGAACATATTGACTAAAAAGTACTGTACATCCTATGAAGCACTGTTTACAGTTAGTATAAATGTAGACCTTAAAAATGTTATCATTTGTTCAACAGATTTCCACAAGTTTATGTTGGTGGCTGAGAGTGTGACAGGAATTCTTTTTCCTTTTGTTTGGCAACATGTGTACGTTCCAATTCTACCAGCGGCTCTGTCACATTTTTTAGATGCACCAGTACCTTTCCTTATGGGAATTTATTGTGCTTCTGAAGAGGATAAAAATAACCTGTGTCTTCCATCTGAGGTGCATTTTGTATTTCTTTTATTTATTTCATCAGTGGTGGAATTCGCCTTTTGACTGAGATGTTTTATGAAGTTTTGTGTTGATCAAAATACATTGCAGAATTTGAGTACTACAAACCATTTACTGTACATGTATTTACTTTCTGTGTTTAATTATTTTTTCCCAGGCTTCCCTCTGCTTAGTTGACATAGACAACTGTACTGTATCAATGCCAGAAGATCTTCCTGTGTTTCCAGATGAGCAGGAGCTGATTGAAGAGCTGACAGATACTTTAAAGCGATTTAATGTGTGTTTACCCCAGGAAAGTCTAAGTCAACCAGGAAGTGGAATGAATAGTTTGGAAAACTCATTAGAAATTCCACCAGAAAATAGTTTCTCACAAACCGCAAATGGCAGTTCTGACTATGAAACTGGGAGCAATTGTGACTCTCCACAAGGATCACCTCGATCTAAGTCACCTATCTCTGGGTCACCACTCACAGGATCACCACTCTCAGGGTCACCACGCTCAGGGTCACCACGCTCAGGGTCGCCTGTTCTAGAAGCCAAGAAAATCAAACATAAGGACTCACCAAAGAGGTCTCACAGAATGAAGGCTCGTGGAAAAGTTGAATCTAAAGTACCCAAGTCTAAATCTTCTACCAGTTTGGATATTACAAAAAATCCCAGATTGCAGGCAATTGCAGCAATTGCTGAGAGGACTGGTATAATAGCACCAATTTCAACAGTTGCTTCAAACTTAGAAAAATCTGTTTCTGATACCCAGCTACAGCAATTTGCTGGCTCAGAAAATGAGTTTATTTTAGGAGAAGAGGCAAAAGAAATTTCAAGAAGTCAACAACACAAAAATGAATTCAATACTGCCATTAGGGAGATATTTGCCAATCGATTCACACAGCTTCTTCTTGAGTATGAGTCATTTGTTATTCAGCCTAAGCAAGACTTAGAAGATTGGACCTCAAATAGGGAAGAAATGCAAAACTTTGACAAGGCTTCCTTCCTTTCTGACCAGCCTCAACAATTTCTTCCATTTCTTTCACCATTTACTGAGACACAGATGTTTGCGAGCTTCATTGACATGAAAATAATGGGAACTTGGGAAGATCCAGACCCTAGATTGGCTGTGTTTGATCAGCGTGTGGAGAATTTGAAGACAAGACTTGGAATCACCAGATCACCTTCTTATGAAAAGTGCATGACCTTTAGAAATGCAGGTGAGTGATTAAAATGAAATTCTTAGTCAGAGTAACATTTTTCGCCACCATGAAGTTCTCCTTTGGAGGTTGCTTATTGTTGTACAAGAAAAGATATCAAGAGAAACATGAAAACAATTAATATTCAGTAGAAAAGAATTGTGGAATAACAAAGCACTCTTACAATGTACCTTGTATTCAGCTACTCTATCAGGCATAGAACATGATCTTTACCTTCATGTCATTGGACATTGCATGACTGTAACTACATTTCGTAACAAAACTCATGCATTGTTATTTTGGAGAAAAGATTTGCAAATGAGCTAAAAATTTAACTCTGATCTTTCAGATGTCTAAACATAGTCTCCTAGTAGTCTCTTATTTTAAAGTTAATGGTGAAATTTTTGTTATTCTTAAGTAAACATACACAGGTGCAATTATTGTTATTGGCATTTTGTGCCATATCACACCTTCAGTATTCAAAGGAGCTTTTAGCTTGAAAGAAGGCAATATGGGCTGGATACATTGTAACTTTAAGTATAAGGCATCTCTCATCATTTAATAACTACTCATGCAATAATTTTATTTTCTTTATTTGTATTTTAGTTCAAGTTCTCTTGCGCCGTTCCAACTCTGTAGATCACATGGCAACGCAACCCCATAATCTAAATATTTCAGAAAAGAAAGGTCTGATCTTATTAATTCCTATTCATTCAATTTATATTATAGGAAAAGAAAAAAATATGGCTGCTAGTAACAATAAATTAAATTTGAAATTTTACATCTGTCTTAATAGGCATGCAGTCTTAAATAATTAACAATTCTTTGCCAAGTGAAGGTGAATAGTGATGGATAGTTACCTTGCCACTTTGTCTCATTGGCTACTCAGAGGTGAATAGTACTTGCTATTCACTTCCACGCAGGCCAATCAACACATGCGAAAAGCACTATTCACTTGTGTTGTATATACTAATATTCAGTATTTATCATTCAGACTATGTGTGATAGAACATTCATTTGTTTTCATAGGATGTTTTAGTGACATCATTAATTATCTGGTCCTTTTTGATTAACTTTTTAATTTATTTTTTGTGTGTACACCTTGTAGTCAGCAGCAGTGGGTACTTCATGAACTTGAGTTCAGAGGTTCTATGTGATGGGCCCAACTCCAAGAGGTACATGTAAAAAGTTTTCCCATTTTTTTTTAGAGTACATGACAGTTAACAAGTTTGCAAAGATTACAGTATTGTTCAGTATTACATGTATTGTGACATGTCTACAATTAGTAAGTACAGTTAGTTAGTAAAGGCAAATAGGAATGGAGAGAGTTTACTCTAAGTGAGATGTGAAGATTTTCCAATAGGAAATTATAATTTTCTTGGATGGATTATCTCTTTCACATACTGTCTGCTCTGTTTTCACTTTTTTGTAATTTTGAAAATGACAACTATGTTAATTGTTTATAATGATTTATATGTGCTTTGTGAAAACTTTTATTTTTTGTAGTGGTCATCAGTCCAAAGTGAAATGGAGAAAAAAGAGTCGGCAACAGCAGCAATCTGAACACATTTTTCTCAATACCACCCAGGTATAACACATTTGTCTTTCAAAACTACATTCTAGAGGACAATTATTTTTGTTTTTTATCACTTACACAAATTTTATGGTTTGAAATTTGTAAAGTACCACAAACCTACATGTCTGTCAAAGATGCATGTATTTCTTGTGCTTTTCATTATCATGCTACATGTATATAGTTTACACTGTTTATTTTTTTTCTAAGAGAATGATGATTCCAAGAAAATCTGTAATTATATTCAATTTAGTAAAGATACATGAAGACATATTCTGGTTGATTGGTTTCTTGGACTTCAGTGAAACCCAAACATAGGTTCAGCTAAAAAATTTGCAAAATTTGGTGGAGTGTTATTCTGCTGCAGTTTTCTTGTTTGTTACCTGACATGCTTAGTGAGTTGTGTGACAAACTAAATGGTGAAATATTTTAAACATTTAAAAAATGAAGCTACACAGTAACACAATGTTCCATACTGGGATGAACTGTATTTACAAACATTTATAACTGATGTGCTTTTTATCACAAGTAGGGTTTCTGTAGCTGGTTTTTAGTGTTATCTACATTTACAAATTAGATTATTATATGCTTTTGAATGTATTTTATTTCATATGGATGACATGACAAGAAATACTAATAATATTACTGTCTTGTTTTGATAAGAGGTGTGGTGACACTCAATATAAGAATGCACAATATCATGTCATAAGGTCATTGATGTTGACCTGATATTGGATGTTATTCACCAACTCACACATGTCTTGTCTGAGGAATATTTCTAAAGTGAAAGCAATTTTGGTTACTGTTAAACCATATAGTGTGAGCAAAACTGTGTTCACTTGATAGAGTTACATACAAGTCATGTACTTGATTCATGTCACCTGGAATTTCATCACAAAGTCAGTTATTTGTAATTTTAGGATGGAAAGAAGATGAGAGACAAACTGGCAACAAGCATAAAGGTATCCTAACTTACCAGACATTTTCTGTGTGTGCTTTGTTAGCTTGAATGAATGATGAAGCTACACTTCTTTAAAAACATTTTTTTTTTATTTGCATTGAACCTTCAAATAAAGTGGTGACAAATAGTTTTACAGCTGTGAGAAGCAGAATAATGATACATAAATCTAATCTGACATCTATCTGATGTTACAAAATCTGTAATGTGTTTCCTTTATGCATAGAAATTGTTAATTAGACTCACTACTTTACAAGACGTTAATTTTAAAGATATTATATAAATCCTCAAAGGTGAATCTTTGATTTTGTGTTAACTTATTCCCTAAACTTCATCTATTTTATGTCTATATTGGGGAGAATTTTTGCTTAATGTTGTGTTGACCCTTTTTATCAAGCGCTGTTATAATATAAACTCCTGAAATCTTTTTTATGTACATTTTCCTCTTCTAAATCAAATAGTTTAATCTTTTTTTTATAATTGGTGTGCCCTTGAGAATTACTTTTGGATTACCTTTTAAAGAAACTTTGGTGGATACTTTTTTAAAATTTTAATCAAAGTGTGTTTTTCTTGTAAGAAATATATGCAGGAGGCTAAAGCTAAAAATACTCAATTTGGAGACATGGCTTTGGAGTCAACTCAAACTGGCTTTATTCAGAAACTGCTAAAGGAATGCAAGCAGAAGGTAAAGGTTCACCTTAATTCATAAACAAGAAAAGGTTTTACTACTTTGTTATTGTTAACTGTTTTAATTTTGGTTGGAGCAATTTGCCTCAGTGCATGAATTTGGGATTGGAAAAAGTGAAAATTTACAATACAATTCTGTACTTTTGTGGTAAAAAGTATCAGTACTGCAAATGTGCATTGAGACCATTAATTGGTGAGCAACCCTTAGCTATTAAAAAGAGGAGTTATGTGTGTATATTCTCGTGACACATAGTAATAAATGTAATTGTTTTATGATGCAGTCACTTCCAACATGGATCAAATCATTTCAACTGCATATTCTCTGCCTTCTTCAAGCAAGGTTGTCTGATTATTTACGAAGCATCTTATCTGACAAATGTAGCTCATAACTTGAAAAAGACCTCCAGATTTTAGTCCTGATATTGCTATCCACATCAGAAGTGACCAAGTATATAATATGACAAATTATTTTGTTATCATTATAATAATTGTTTTGATCTTTACTACTCTTATCATCATCATTTTTTCATACAGTAACTGTTATTATTATTATTATTATTATTATTATTATTACTTTTATTATTACTTTTATTAGTAGCAGTAGTATTATCATTGTGAGAAATATTTTTTTTATACAGTCATTGCATGTTTGGAAAGTCCACTGAATGATTTGGGGGTGTTGCTCCTTTCACACCTGCACTTGAGGTTTTGAAAACACGAATCCTTGATAGTTGCTCTTGTCTGCCTTTATAATAAGTAATGTTTCCTCTTACCTGCAAAAGCCCTATTACTATTTTCAGACAAAAAGAATTTTGGTGCAGAAGATGGGACAAGAAGCAGTGGATCTTGGACATTCTGATGCAAATGTGTCTGGAGTGGAAGAGAATACATTAATAGCCAGTTTGTGTGATCTAGTGGAAAGGATTTGGAGCCATGGTCTGCAAACAAGAGAGGTACAGTCTAGACATTGCCTTTAAGCTACCACTGCTTGCATTCAATATAAATACTTGTATTCCTCCATCCCCATTGCTTCATTGGGACCCCCCTCTTTTGAGCCACTTGTCTAAAGCTTCAACTCCACCTCCCCTCCCCTCTCTCATTCATTTGGGCTTGGTAGCTTTAGTTAACAATACAAAGTAAATATACTCATTGTAAAAACCTTCAGGGATTTCCTTCATAAATATCATCGATCTTTCTACCAGAAAATAAACATACTCTAAGTGGTTTTCATTAATTATAACCTATTTTAATTAACTATTTGTTTTACCTCTACTCCAATCATCCTAAACTCCACTAAATACTATTATTTCTCTAACAAGCTCTTGATTTGCAAGGCTCCCAGACAGGGGCTTAGTAGAATTGGATCAATCAGAGAGAAAGGTTCATTAGAGAGGGGGGGGGGAGGTGGAAGTTTATTAAAAACGTGTGGATTAAATTGTAGTTCCCAAGCTAAAAACCAAGGATGGAGGTTATTAGAGAAAAGGGAGACTTTGAAAAGAGGAGAGGGCCTGGTAGAGGGTGTATACTACGGACATCTATAGGTTTTCATTTCTATAACAAGGAGAGTTGCATTGAGTTGAAATTTTCTGTGTGAACCACATGGACCATCTACATGTAGCAATGTACAATATTTTTACCTATGATAACATTCATTATTTTGGCCACCATTTTGAAAGAGGGTCCAACATTGATAATATTTAGGAAATTCTGTTGTTCCTTAATTTTAGGGTAAATCAGCTGTGTGGTCACACTTGTTAGCTTTCCAGCTTGAATGTGAAGAGTTAGAAGAGGAAATAGTAGACAGTCAAGACACCAATAGTCTTTCACCCTCGGCAGGTATGATACTTGTGTGAAGAGGTGTATTTTATGTAGGTAGTGACAACATGAACCAAATTTAAACAAACAGCTTGAAATGCGAAAAAACGCGAATGACTAAGTCACGATTGGTGTAAGTTTTACCTGGAGAGGCTGGCGCAAGGTTTTGAGACCAATCACAGATTGTTTTCTACAATCGGTTAAAATTCCTCTTTTGATTTGTTATTTTAGCCAACAAGGAAACAGACAAACAGAGTCAGTTGAGAAGGAGGTGCACATCACCTGACATCGCAAAAATGCTGCAGTCTGTTCAGCTGTCAGAACAGCAATCCACTTTTGGCTCAATATTAGCTGACATGAGGTATGTTATCTGTACATCAGCGATTATTATCGAGTTGTTGAGTGCATCTTGTACACAATGAATACCTGTATTTCAACGGACTTGCTTAGGGCTCCAGATAACCAGCCTTAAATTGCGTTCTTACCATCATTTCATCTTTTTGCTGAATAAATTTGACAAGAAGCATCCGTTCAATTTCCTTAGATATCTCGTTGTGTTCGTTGTGTTACTTTGCTTAGAGATCTACGCCAGAAATTTGCTTCTAATATTTGGGGAAGCATCCTTATATGGCAAATGTTTCCCACAATTATTCAAGCGATCTGAAACTGCAAGAGATAAAACAGGAATGTTTTGGTTGACCTTCAACGCAGCACTTCACTAAGTTGTTAGATTGCCACAAAAATGCTAAAGAAAAGCGCGCATTGCCCTCCTATTTTTTTTGCCATAGCTTAGCTTTTACCCGCAGCCCTATGGCGTACTTGGTTATTTGCGCCTTAGTCAGACAAGTTCGGAACAATTTTTTGCTTTGCATATTTTGGTATGTACAATGTATGATAATTTTTTTTGTTTCCACTAGCCACGTGCAGGGTATGGCTGAAATCAAAACTGACATCGGACATGCTCGAGCATGGATCAGGTGAGCATGACGTATGGCCTGGATGTTAGCATCAGTCATTTCATCTTTCCCTTCAAAAACACGCAATTTAGAACCAAGTTTCTGTCCTTTTCATGTTTATGATACTTCTGTTTTATTCTTTACCTCAAAGACTTACTTTAGAGAAGAAGGTTATCTCTAGGCACTTGAAGCAACTGCTTTCAAATACAAATCTTCTGAGGTAAGAAAGTGAATGTCCCTTATCATTAAGTGTTTTTGAGAAAATGTGGAAAGTAAAACTAAGACTCTTTACATTGAGTGAAAGCATTTTAAGAAAGTGAATACTGACACTAATTATTCTCATCCTTGCTTTTCAACAGAGAGAGGTACAAAGATTATGCCTTCTTGCGGACCGAAGAAGAAAAGGAGCAGTTCCTGTATCATCTTCTTTCTCTCACTGCTGTTGACTTCTTTTGTTTTACAAATGGTTTTCAAAATACAGGTTGGTATTTCATTCAGTTTTCTTCTGCCAAATAAACTAAGGTTGTACGTCTGCTGTCAAAAACAGAATCTCACGAATAGTAAATCTCTTACTGATAGTAAATCTTGTACAGTACAAACAAAAATGTAAGTGGTATTTTAAGAGCTTTAACTAAGATTGTCGGTCAAAATCCATAAACGTTAAGCTACTTTTTAGTTCTGTGAACCTATTAAAGGCTGTTCAGGTTTGTCTTATGGCCGCACGGCCAACCCTAACTCTATCCCAACCTTAGACGTTCCCAGGGATCTCGGACGAGAAAGTGTAATGCAGAGGTCTCACAGGTTAATCACGTGTTTTGTTTTAATTTGTGTATTTGTCTCTTTGTTCGATTTTCTTCATGATTGCTCTTTAGCCATTACATATAAGGTGGTGATTAAGACTGGTAAGCAACTGGGTGGTAGCACCACAACAGCGCAGTCGTGGATGACTCTGGCCGGCAGCATTGCAGATACAGGTGTAATGAACATACCCAAGAATGAGAACGAGTTCAGATTTCAGGTAAGGAATTCACTTGCGAGTTACTTCTGCGTCAATTTCGGAACTAAACAAGGTGAAAAAACAGCTATTGCGACTCAGGGTTTGAATTTGCTTACAGAGAATTGCATGGATTATGCCAGGGAGTAAATTATTTACATTGATTCACTTTTAACAAGCAAAAACGAGAGTAGTTGTAGCTTTTTACATCCTGGAACTGAACCACCGCTCGAAAAATTAGCTTGTATTGATGTTTATACAGCCTTGCACGACCCTCTAGGCGTTTGAGCACTTGACATAACGCTCCCATTCAGAACACATTTGCGCATGAACACGATTACATTTTTATCGCTTTTACCCCAACACTAGATTGATCTCGCCATCTCCATCGTTGTTCAAGAAAGGCATGTTCTGTAGATCTTGTATCTTGCAGTAAGCTATCAATATTCTTTCTCAACAGCATGCTAACTTGGGGGTGTTGACAACACTCAGGATAGGACACGATAATACTGGTAAGATAAATGGCACAGTATTCACCTCATGCATCATAAGTCTTCTGACGTCTAAACATTCCAACTTGCATTATATCCACCTCTCGCTTGGAGAAGTTAGAAATAACTCCACAGTTTAGTGAACACAACGACACCCATATTAAGGTATTTTCACTACATCCCAATTCTTTGTTTGGTTCACCCTTTACACCCCAATATCAGTATGCATATTCTCCATACTGTTCATCATACATTTCCTAAGGTGCTGACAAGGAGAATTTGTCTAACAATCAAGAACTTCCTTAGTTAACGATCATTTCCTTTATTCTCAGTGACCTTGATGTGTGATTCAGGGGAGATATAGCAGGGAGAAATTAGATGCTGGTCACTCTTAGGGGTGAAAGGGTTAGGGTCAGAGGGATGAGTGTTTTTCGACCAGGCTAAAGGAACGCCATGTAGCCACGTAATGTTTGCTGCCTTTCTTTTGCTGCTATGAGGAGAAAACAGATTTTAGAGCGATTTTTTTGTCAGATTGTTTTGCTTGGATACGTTCTGTGATTGGTTCAAAAAACCTTTGTTGCCACTCAGATGTGAAATCCAAACCATTGTGAGTTGTTTGTAGACTGTTTCCAGTGTTGGCAGTGACTGCATTTATTTTCGTTGACCTCTTATTCGTGTGTATTTAAGTTCCCAAAAATAATTTTTTTTGGAATGACCTAATCCTAATTTATTTTCCTTGATGTTCCAAGGTTACAGCCCAGGCTTGTTCATTGAACAAATCATAGTCAAGAATGAAGTGACTTCGCATATTTATAGGTAAGCACGACTTTCTCTGAATTGTAGGATCCGTATTTGTCCTAGTGTTAAATTTGTTGAATGTTTCCACAGTAACTTAGTTCGTACTTCGCAGATTTTCGTGTGGGCGTTGGCTTGCCAAGAACATGGATGACGGCAGTACTGAGAGGCTTCTTGTTGCAGAGCTTATGAAGACTAAAGGGACTGAGGAAGGTAAGATTTGTTGCGGTATGTGTTACAATATATAATAAGGGAGGGTCCGACAGGGAAATATTCGGCTCTAGGTCATGAAGGACGCTGGACTGAGCGCCCCTCGTTGTTAAATGATCATATTTATTTATACCCTTACATACTGGAAATTGCATACAAAAGTTAATCAACCTGGTACAAAAACCTATTATTTCGAACACTTTTCGTTTTGGCCGATAAGGCTCGACTGAAACCAACGAAATACCAAAGTTTTCACCTCGTTACTATGGTTTCCCATCGTTTAAATGAAACTGTATCAGTAATTTCTATCTATAGCCTATTGACAAAGCACAGAACATACACGGCATATAAGGGTTTACAAAACTTAGAAGTCATGAGTACGAATACATCATGTGATAAAAATATTTGTAATAATTATGACTACCGATATTCTGAGTTGCAACACGGCCATGATTAACTACCTTTCGAAGCACATGACTCCGGAAGTTGCCACGTTTTCTTAGCATCGCTCTATGTCATCGTGAATCATGAATTCCTTTGGGTTTTCACTCGCTAAAACTTGTTTTTCTTTTTCTTCATTTTAATTTCATAACCTTTTACTGGTCATTTCAATTTCTGTTAAATAGCATAAATTGTCACTACGAGGTTCTGGGCACATCGCGCGCATATCAGAGGAAGGGTGTTCTTTTGTAGTGTCACAAGGAAGTTGCGAAACTTTCTAGCAACCCATGGCAATACCATGTTGGTTCTGTGCGAAGTTGTGATGTCATGATCGGAGATGGATCTCTAATACTTGTGCAACTTAAAGGTCCATAAACAAACCACTAGTGCTTCATTTAATTATCGTTTCCTTTTCTTTTTCAACTCAGGAAATTGCACAATCAGGTTCACTTCGTTTCTTCTTTCGTCCTTCGTTCGATACAATTTGACTATTGGCCAGCGCAACCTGCGCAAACAATGCAGTAAAGACACCGCCAACCTTCATGTTGTACTTTGCCGAAATTTCCGCCAAAATACAGTTTTGTTTTTTCGCTCAGACAGACTCCATTCCGGTGAAACTGTTCATGTACTTAGGTTTATTCTTTTCTTTGTTTTCACACCTTTACTTATTCCAAGATAGTTTCGCAATTTATTTCTATACATGTCGTGACTAACCAACTATTTTTTCCATTTGATAATTGTGACATGTCCTCACCGAAACTTCATGTTTTAGGCTCAGTTTTTCGACATGCATAAACTTCTACGCAACTGCTCTAAGTCTGAGAGATCTCCTTCGTCTACGATTCGACCCAGTCTCTGACGTATTAGGACTGTCGTGCTGTTTGTTATCGCTAACGCTCTGTTAATAGAGGGGCTCAAAATGAACATTTTCCAAACATCTTACATACGCCGATATAAACAAGCGGTACTTGATAAACCACAAGAACTGGTCAGACAGGCGCGATTATCTTGCATTTTTTTAACGAGATTTTATGGATGGGTCCAATCTGCGCCAATATGATTATTGTTGTAGCTGATCTGTTAAATTACCGTAATCTATACCATGCGCTGAACGTTTCCGCTTCATTCCATTCCAGAGCTTGTCCATCTTTTGTCAATAATGTGTTGTTCTTCGCTGAACGAAACCGAGTTTTATCTTCAAAACTTGTTGAAAATGTCATTTCCTAACGCCCTAGTTACTGAGTCGAAGAAAATAATCTATTGGAGGTCAATTGGGGTGATTGTTTTCTTTGAGGTAAATCACTTATACTGCGATGAAAATTCTGCTGCAATAACTGAAATTTTTGTAACTTAAATTTAATCTTCAAAGTATGTGCTAACTTGATAAGTTTGGCAAAAGGTATGAATCGCTTTCTTGAAAATGATAAGAGTAAAAACACTGGGTGAAGATCATTTGTTATTTTGCCCAGTGGATTATTTAGGAAAATATGCAGAGAGCAATGGATAAAAATGAAGAAATCCTTCTCGTTATGCGGCAGAAACAGGTTAAAACATCGATATAACACTTCCTTACTGATCGTTGATTATCTTTACAACTTACAGGATATTAAAGTATTTTTGATGTGATGCGTTAAGAGGATGTCTAGGTTGAGGAGAAATTGTAGCATAAATGTTTATATTTGTTAACCAGGAAACGCATTGCAATCGCGACGTTCGGGTGAATTATAAGTTCTGTAAATTTTGGCAACACCTTGAGCAGTTAACCAGTGATACTTGAGGATCTTACGACTGAAATACTCGTTTAGTGATGTCTGAAGTCTTTCGAAACAGTGAATGCACTACGGCACAACTTCATTGCCAATAATAATTTTGAAATTGAGTTTAACTAGAGAGATCACCAACCATTTCTTGTGGGTTCATAGACTAATACAAACACCTATTTCTTGGAAAACACTTCGTGATTGACCAGTGGCGCTAACTAGAGTGTAATCGTCGCATTCGGGTCACGTTATCGTGCTACATGCCTCAAAAGGGGTGTACCCCTTGTTTTTTACACAGCGTAAACAGTTTGATGCACTTGATTCTGAAAAAATCTGTCAGTAAAGGTTACCATTAGCGTCTCCTTATTTTCCTTCTCGCAATTCCTTCCGAAAAATAGAATGTCTCGTAATCAAGTTATCGAATGAAAGGTTTTATTCATGGTTGCAATCTTGATAATGAAAGAAATACTAGTGCGGCTAAATTGTCAAGGAAATCGCCATTGTGGCGCAATTTTTCAGTCGATATCTTAACATTGAACATGTTCGTTATAGCTTCCGGTCAGCCATCTGTAATTATACGTTTTTATCATTTTTACTGAATTCGGTGTCTAAATATGGTATTTTTTAAACAATTCTAATAAGGGTGCAAGGAATAGTGATACGTGATGCTATTTCTTGTCCATGTAAAACGTGTAAAGAGTCGGAAAATCAACTAGATTTGAGAAAAGTTCAGGAACCCGCAACTCGACTTTTTAACGGCTCAGATCTTCTGTCCAGTGACTCAGAAATCCTACGTGGTTGGCTTTTGACAACCAAGAGAACCAGATTGTGCAATAAATTTTAAACTGAACGATGTTGGCAACAAAATGCCAGAATAACTCAACGTAGTTCAAGTTTACTTGCGCGGGACATACCAAATATGTTATGAATATTTATTCCAGGTTTTGAGTGTGATAACATAGTTGTGGACACTGTTTAAGAGTAATTGTCATTTTTCAAGTCTACATCATCATTCCTCAAATAAGATGGGCCAGTGTTGTGGTAGGTTTTTTTTTTTATGGTAAGTGGTTTTCATAGTGGGTGGCTATCATAGTTAGCCTTGTGGGTCACTTTTGCCCGAAAGGGTATGGTGTTTGAGCCATCTGGGTTTTAAAAATGAAATGTAGTTTCTAGTCTGACGTTTTTAAGAGGAGTCTCGATATCCTACATGGTTATCGTATTTATATCTTTTTATCTTCAAACGAATAATGCGAGGAAAAATAGTCACAAGTTTATCGCTGCAGAGTAAGGAAGTAGGCTGCGAGTTAATGAAGTCCCTCATGTCACGGTTTGTTGATCCCAAAAAAACAATTTAAGAAAACAATGAAAAAAAACATTTTTTAAAAAATCCTCGTGAAATTTTACGTTCGCCATTCGTAGTTCCTCTTAATCTTCTCGTCATGAATCATTCTTGTTTTCTTTTTCCCTTTTGGTCTTGTTATATCTTTGGTTTCCTTTTCTTTTCTTTTCTCTTCTTTTTTTTTTTTTTTGTTGTTTGTTTGATTGGTTTTTCGTTCTTCATGAACTGATTTCTTGTTCTCACCTTCAAAATTAAGAAAAGTTCAAAAGTCCATTACATCTAGGGTTGATCGCTTTCAAGGGAAAACACCTGGTTAAGATTAGAATTGTTTCTCATTTTTTTCCTCGCGCTTGCTTGATCTTGCTGTTGGGTGCGTGCTTATGGAATGCGGTAAATTTTGTCTCTCTAAGCGTAGAGGGATTTTACCGGAAAAAGAGACTAAGTAAAGACGGATACCCTTGTTCCTGAAACCGGAGAAACAAAACCCCGATTGCTTTATACTCCATCAGTTTCTTATCAACCTGCACAGTTTTCGCGTGAATGCACAATCAATATCGTTACATGATTTTGCTCATTCTTTAACACCCTACATACCTATCTTGTTGTAAACAGTTCGTCTGTCTTAAATGGATGTTTCTCATCGAAGTTGTGTTTTGTGCGGATAGGCCACAAGGGTGGAAATTCTGAATAAACTTGCCCGATTAAGTAGTGAACGAACGTCACATTTACGTCATAAAAGCGGAAAAAAGCCAGCCAGGTGCTTGGTTTTTGAGAGGTAAATGTCTGAGGCTGTTTTAGAAATAATGAATAAAAACCTCATTTCACTTCATTTTCCTGCACGTTTACTTCGCCATAAGGTCATATGTTTTGTATTATTGGTGTGTGAATAGCACCTACATTACTTTGATGCCTTCTCATCGGCTTTAAACTATGCAGGGAAGTTCATATTTATTTGTAAATCTATCGTCTGGAGTCTCATTATTTGTGTCTCGGATTACGATGTTATCCTTGCGGTCTGTTTTAATTCCCTCTGGGGTTATAAATCGTTTCAAAGCCATTCAGCGTTTTTCCCCGTCCTCGTATTACTCACCCACGCTAAAAATACAGAGATGACAGGCGGAGATTAGAATGGATGACCCTATAAATACAGGTCGCGCAAATTCGTCACAGATAGTTAAGGACATCACCGAGTAAACACAAGAGTGATCAGAAGAGAGAGAATTCTAAGAGAGTTTGGTTCTTATCAATCGTGGCCTCTTTATTTGGTTTAATTACGCCCACAAAGATGAAGGCAAAAATCAAGAAGCAAGGTGAAAAGTGGCAAAATTCGGTTGACACGTTGCCGCTTCCACGGAACGTTTTCAACGTGGTTGTCCTCGGTGCGGGAGGCGTAGGAAAAACGTCGCTTGTTACGCGTTTCGTCAAGAATGAATTTTCAGATCGCTACAATCCAACAGTGGAAGATTTGTACGAGAGGCCCATTGAGTTGAGAAAAGGTGTCAGCGCAGTTTTGCAAGTGCTAGACACGGCGGGTTCGTATCAATTTCCTGCCATGAAAAGACTGACACTTCAGTACGGAGAAGCGTTCATTATTGTGTATTCAGTTGTCGATCCTGCTTCACTTGACGAGGCAGTGAAACTGCAGCAAGAAATCTACGAGGCCAAAGGCACAGAAGATGTACCCATGGTGTTTGTTGGTAACAAGTGCGATCTGACCTCAGGAACAGACAAGCGGCTTGTGAGTCATGCCATCGCGTCCACGCTCACTCGCGGAAAAAACTGTATTTTGGCGGAAACTTCGGCTAAGTACAACGTGAACGTTAGCGGTGTCTTCACTGCCTTATTGGCGCAAGTTGCACTAGCCAATAGTCAAAGTATATCGAACGAGAGACCAAGGAAGAAGCGAAGTGTAGTTTCCTGATTTGACTGAATGCGAGGAAACGGAATTTCAGTTAGGAACTTGTGGTTTGGTATATGGACTAAAGGCTCAATACATAAAATTAGATATCCGTCTCCGCTCATGACATGACATTTTCGTGTTGAACTTGACATATTATTGCAAAGAGTTGCTACAATGTTGCGCAACGCCTTAAGGGCATAGCAAATGTCCACTTTTCCATGGTCATGTGCGCCCTTTCCACGGTTATGCGCGCAATTTGCTTAGAATCTCGTGCTCAGAATTTAACTTATTTAAAATGCTATGAACTTATTTGTAAATAGACATGAAGAAATGAATCAAGAATGAGGAAAAAAGACAAAATATTCTTTAAACGACATCCTTAAAACATTATACCAATAAAGAAAGATAGTGCCATAAAATTTTATCACGTGGCAGTTTTCGGTGTCACGCGCTGCTGAGTAAGTAAGTAAGTTATTCATGGCTCGTGATATGGTCTGATATTACTTGACAAGTCAGCGTATTTGCAGTTATGAACATTACAGATTTCCTAAAGCATGTAACTCCTTGAAAATACTTAGTCATGTAGAGGATCTGTGTTACTTCAATTAAATGCCTTGTAAATAGCTGTAAAAATGAAAATTACTTGTACAGATTAATTTAAGTGATACAACATTGTAATTATAAAGATCTCACCAAAAAAATAAATTATTCAAGGTCAAATTTTGTGGAGAGTGTGGAGTTTTCGTCGTTCTTACTACTTTTCCCTTTTATTTCCGATCCTGTTCACATGCAAGGTTCAAATCTGAATTAACATAGCATCATGCATTCAGAACGTAGAAGTGTTCAAACAGGAATTGTTTTTTTTTAGCCGAGTTTTAACATAAGAATGTTTGAAATTTAAGGTTACATTACTGGGTTTATTAAGTGTTACAGGCGACTTTTAAATTTTTTTTGGGAGTAAAGGAGGACTTTCGATTTCTATTTTCTCTGACAGTTTATTAACTAGATAAAGAACATTCATCTGCAATAGCCCTCGATCAATTCTTCTTTTTCGTGTGGGCTAGGAAGAATAAAGGGCTGTTCTTTCAGGAAGTGCTTAGGAATGATTGTGATATCTGAGAAGATTTCGAAGCAATCATTCCAATGCAGTGAATTAAAACTTCTCTCATCCGAAAGCGAGGTTTGATGATAGACTCTGCGCTATCGTGCAAGGTCGGAAAGATGTAAAGTGGCTTTTTGAGAAAAATCCTACTGCTTTATACGGTCTACTTTTGCATCAATCTTAACGTTTTCTGGGATTCCTTGTAACTTCAGAGATGATTGTCAGTTACACCATCATTCTATTTTTCTAAACAGATTAAAGAATGCGTGACTGGTCTTGTCTGTTGTGCCATTGCAGAAAAGGCTAGTAACGCATTTTCGTCTGGGTCATGCCTTTTTTTGTCACACAGTGATCAGCGTTGTGGGGAATTCTCTCACACCCAATCTGATTTAAAACGTGTTGGTCGTTACAGAGCAATTAGACTTTGATAAAGTAATGCAACAAAGTTTTGTAACATTCGAATAACATGAGTCAAGCCGACCCTCTTATCCACGGATGCGATATTGCTCCGGTAATCTTCCACTTGGAGTGAAGTGATGTTATTTTTGAAAACAAATACCTGATTATTTAAGTAGACAAGCTGCCTTAAAAAAAAAATAAAAAAAAAAACCTTTATTAGTTCAGTCAACATTACAATGTTATGACTTCCGGTTTGGCACAGTAATGCACCGTCAAAAAATGAGGTTATTTTGCAAATCAGCATAATCGCCAAGTGATGTATTTAGCCAACACTTACCATAAATATTTATGATGACGTAATGCGTGTGCCACATCACTTAATAATATCAGTATTTGATATTGCATCACCTGAAAGTAGTTGGAGAAAAACTGTACTTAGAGGCAAGTGCTTCTGCAATTAAATTTAAACCAGGAAAAAGTCTGTAATCAAATGAAATGCAAGGGTGTTCTTTTTCGTCCCTTCTGGGGTAGAGAGAGTGATAACTGAAAAAAACTTGAACTCAGAAAATAAGTTACGTTTTTTATTCTTAAAGTTGATGATTTATGTTTTTTCATAGCTAGATAAAATACTGCATTTCATTCGGCGTATATTCCGAACTCTCAGGCACAAATAATATATTTTTTAACGGGATTCGTGCGGCATAATCCTTTCTGACAGTTACGATTTGAAATTAAAACAGATGACAACTTCAGGATTTTCTTGTCGTTCATCTCGTCTGACCCACGTCAGACAAAGCAATGCTGGTCTTTACTCAAAGCTTGATCACTTCACCACCAATTTCCAAAAGCAGAAATGACGAGGTGGCGCAAACTGGATTGTTGACTAAACAATGGTGCTATTTTGGGACGTGTAGGTGTACGGAAGTACATATCGCCTGACACACCCATCTAATATGGCCAAAAGGGAATTTTTGGAAAAATACAACCAGTATCTAAAAATATCACCATTTTCTGTTTCTGTTGAGCGCACCATTTTTTTTGTATCTTTGCTGTAATGCTCTTTGAATTGTAATACGTTGGATTACAGTGGTAAACCTGAAGGATTTCTCTTTTCTGTTCTCTTTGTCTCAATAAGTCTGCGTCCAATTTCTTAGTCTTCCTGTTGTCTTATGCCACCTGGAGCTTGCACTCGTAACATTGCATCACTTTCAGGTTTACCCTGAAATTCTCAAAAGAGCCAGAAGTTGGAACTTCCGGGACTTAAACTTGCGTGGCGTTTGATTTTTTTGTGTGCTTTAAAGAAACCAACTATGTAAGCATCTAGATTTTGGAAGACCGTGACCTGTCCCTAGGGGCCTCCAGATTCTATACGCCGTTGTGTTTAAGTTCATTTGTTTATGTTACTTTTATTGACAAAGGATAATGCACCTTGCAGAGTTTGTCTTTTACGTTACCCAACAGTTGAATTCCGGATTCTGTGGGCTGCAAACGTTAAGCTTCAATTAGAAAACTTTTTTTTTAGGTCCAACTTATCTTTCTGCGGTCACTTTGAGTTCATCCCGCCCTCATTTGATCGTTTAGAGTTTATACTGCTTTGGACTTACAACTCTCATTGTTTCTCACCATCACAATTTTTTATTTCTTGATTATCAGATGGAAACCTGGCAGAAGTTTGTCGCTTGTCTCCACAGAGAAGATCCCCTGTACTCTCAAGGAAAAACCGCGAAAGTAAGTTTCTATGTTCTGTCCAAATCGCAAAGTTCCTTTTTTCCCACGATCTTAACTTTTTGTACGTCCTTGGTCCACAGAGGGCCTTAACCCATTTTTTTTCTTCGATCAATTACGACCGTTGATATTTTATAATGCATCTCAAAAAAAACTGGCGGTTGGTTTGCCTTTCAAAGTTTGAAGAAAGTGGATAGAACTTTTGCCCTCTGAAAACTTACCCACCACTCAATGTTTGCACGCTAAAGTTTGCTCAGTAAAACCATTAGGTTGGCACGAACTAATATCTGTCATCCAGTATCCAGAATCCGATAGTTTAATCGAAATGGTCTTGTAGTTGGGTGCGTGCTTATGGAATGCGGTAAATTTTGTCTGTCAAGGCGTAAAGAGATTTTACCGGAAAGAGAGGCTAAGTAAAGACGGATACCCTTGTTCCTGAAACCGGAGAAACAAAACCCCGAGTACTTTATACTCCATCACTTTCTTATCAACCTGCACAGTTTTCGCGTGAATGCGCAACCAATATCGTGACATGATTTTGCTCATTCTTTAACACCTTACATACCTAATTTGTTGTAAACAGTTCATCTATCTTAAATGGATGAAAACTTACCCACCACTCAATGTTTGCACGCTTCAGTTTGCTCAGTAATACCATTAGGTTGGCACGAACTAATATCTGTCATCCAGTATCCAGAATCCGATAGTTTAATCGAAATCTTTCTTATTATCCATACAAATATGTAGCTTGACTTGTGCAATTTCAGAAACTTCGCTTGTTTTGAGGAGTACCTGGTTGTACCTTCTCCCTCCCCTAGAATCTGAATTCTAAGGAAGCGGTCGAAGGTATCAATTATTTGGACCTTTAAATCATTTCTTTTCCTTTTTCAGGGATTCGTATCCCGGAAGTGCAAGAACGAGTTGCTGATGCCGTTAACAACATCGTGAAACATTTCTACAAGCCTGAGAAAGAGGTGACGGTCAAGTAGCACTATTTCACGTTTTGCCTTTTTAAAACTTTAGTTTCGGGTGCTGGATTCTTTTTTTCGCTCTTTCATCGGGTAAAACTGTGTAAACCTCAAGTAAATCATTCTGTTTCAGAGAGGGAACCTAACCTATTTATTATGTGGTGATGGAGGTCTCTGTCAAGCATTGGAGCAGGTAAAATCCAAGAATTTTTGTTTATTATAGGACACTCTCCTTGTCGATAACAATATAATTTTGTAATAAAATACGTGTTTATTGTTCATCGTGATGTAAGATAGGAGATAAACTTTATTCGTTTGTCTCACGATATAGCCACTTTTGATGTTGATCGCGACGTTTCGACTGCAATACTACTAGTGTTCATCAGGCGATGAGGTCGATTGTTTACGTGTCGCTATTTGTAGCACATTGGTTCGCTGCTATTGGTGCATTTCGATTCTCACTATTATTCCGGTTGTAAGATGATGTTCCCTCATAGGTCCTCACTGATCAGCTGTTGTGTTGTTTGATCGTGGGTATCCAAGCTTCGGGAATTTCGATTCCATTATTCCTATTGATGTTGTCGGGATGAAGTCTTATATGGATAGCCTGTTTGACCCTACGTGTGTACCAGTGGGGGTCACGATCAATAAACTTAACCTTGCTCCAAATAGGAATATACCCCGTTTCGTTAGCGTGCTCCGAAACCGCAGAGGTCTTGAGTACGAGCAAAGCCAATGTCTCTGTCATGTTCTTTTTATCTTTTCTCGCATTGATCTCCCTGTTTCACCGATATACACTTTGCCGCATTCACATTGGATCTTGTAAACGATACCGTCTTGTTTTGTTGGTTCCAGGACGTCTTTCGGTCGTATTAAGTGAGACCTAAGTGATGTGTCAGACTTGAAAACGGTCCGTATGCCTTGATGTTGTAAGCAGCGGTCAAGAACCTCTGATACACCCTTTATGTAAGGGAAAACGGATTTGGCGTTAAATTCTGCGCGGGTTCTTTTTTGGCTGTTGCCCTTGTTGTCTTTGCAAGTTTCCGAAAATATAATTTTATATGGTGAAGAATTGAGAAAAGGACTTAATTTTTTTATGTCTGTAGGTATTTCAGTGTGGTTTTAGGTCATCCCGACTTTTCCGTAACAATTTCTTCATCTGGGATATTTTGGGTAAGTGCTGCTTTCTTATGTAAAAGTTACAGCACATTGACAAGCGAAGACAGGGTGCGCACGCACGGCACGGAAAACCTGGAAACTCGTAGCACTGCACCACATCATTTTTTAGGCATGAAAAGCGCTCGAGTGAAGAGGGCGTGCATCGCACGCGATCAGTCAGCGGGGCTCGGAGTCTGCGTAACCATTTGGGTAAAGAGAGTGAAAGTCTCGCCTAAGAGAGGAAAACGCGCATTCTCCTCGTGCATTTCCTTCTTCTCACCCGTGTCCTTAAGAAATCGCGTCGTAGCTTTTACTCAAGGACTTATTACACAAATCAGGAAGGTCGAATGAAGTGAGTCCGACTTGCGAGCTTAGTTGAATACCTGAGCAAATCACTCTCATTTAGAATCGCCACATCCAAAGACAAACGTTATTAGCTTAGACTACACCATAATGCGAAATCTTTTTCCTGGTAAAATGTTTGTGAATTTTCAAAATAGGTTTCAGAATACAACTTTGAGGTATCTGAGTTTGTGGTTTTTTTTTCTTCTTTTTCCCGTCTCTAATGTTTACAGAAAAAGGTCAGCAGTATCTTTCGTCCGCGGAGGAGGACTCGGATCAAGCCGATCCAATGAAAAGACCGAGAAGAACTTACTGTAGCGTAATAACGCGAATAAATAATGCGTCACACACCATCGGCAAAGACGGCAAGGTGCGTCTGCTTTTTAGAGCTTAGTCTTCCTTGGATTCTGAATTTCGTACTTCAATAGGTTGACATCATTCAATTTACATGTGATGAGCGTTTTCACCACATGAAGAAGTTATCCCAAATGTTGTCCCAAATGTTTCCACCAATTCTAAAAACCATTTTAGAAAGAGGGGTCTACTATTTTTGTCGACAGATTAATTACTAATATAATGAAACCATTAAATTAAAGGTAGCAGTGGTGTTATTTGAACTAGAAAATTAAAAATGTGAAATATGAAAAGAGCGCAAGCATTTCCTTGTTTGCTTGCAGTTCCAGTCCTTTGTGTGCCTCGGTGCGCGGTAAGTATCATTTTCCACTGATCATATATATATATATATTTTTTTTTTAAATAACTAATTGTCTAGTAGTTTGTGATGATCAAATTAAATTAGATGGCAGCGCCAGTTTTCGCCAACTGCTAAGTAAAAAAATTGCAATCTTATTGTCGCAGCCAAAAGACCAAGGCATGTTTTTCAGTCAGCTGCGATAGGAAATAGCTGCAACTTCTTCTTTAATCTTTCACTAGCATTTTTATTTTTTTGCGCCTTTCAGTTCCCGTCCTACGTTACTTTCCTAACATTTTTGTCCTTCCCTTCCCTCAGAGACCATTTGCTTCACAACTGGTTCGAGCTGCTATCCACGTGTCCTGCAACAACCAACATGTACGACACGCCTTCATTCTTCAGAGACAGTGGTCTAATGCAGTTTTTGGTGGAGTTACTTCAGACTTTAGTTGAATTCAACATCACACTGGAAGCCTCGCTTCTTAAAGGAATCTCTTGACACAATAAAGATTGGGAACTTTCTTTTAGACAGTAATCTCTAACTTAGATCGTTCATAACCATTTTTGAGCTTTCGAATACCAGATGCAGAAGGAAGTATAGGCTAGAATCTCTTAATCGGGTCGGTCTGTTTGGTGACGCTAAAATGCAAAGCGTGTGTAGCTGGCTATCTGAAAACGGTCGGAATGCCATTGCGCGCTTTTAAAATTCGTTCGTCCGCTATTCTCTTTGTTAATATATCCAAGCACAAGATTTAAGTGCGCTTGATTAACTTGCCATCAAATCGAACGCGGTGAGCGGAGACTTGCATGCAATATTGAAGTACTTTCTGTATAGTAACCAACATTGGCCTCGTGTAGAGAAATGGTTGCTTTTGTACACAACATTTTTTCGTATTTTGTAAGATAAACATCAATGCCCGAAATCAAATTTGGCGAAAATAATTTTTTTTACTTATAAATAAATGTAAATGCATGTGTAAATAGATTAACTTATTGATCTTTAGGTTAATCGAAGGTTTAAAGACAATGGTTAATGAAGGTTTTCTAAGTGACAGACAATTTTGTATTGATTGGTAGAGTAAAACAAAAATGTCAATTTGTTCAGTCAAACAAAGTAGTTTCTCCTCTGAAGAACTGCGCATTTACTAGCAGCTTAGTTTTTGAGTAATCTTAGACTACAAATTACACCTCTGATTTCCTAGACAGGTGCTAGGGGAGGTTTTAAGGTTAAGGTTAAGAAGTCGCGCGCGTGACTTACAGCAAGGCTTCTCGCGCGCGTACCGTCTGTAACCCTTCACGCAGGCTGGCACTATTGTAACCTCATTTCCAAGGAAAAGGTTACCCAGGTAACAAAGTGGGTGAAAGGCCCCTGTAAGGAATATGAAATCTCCTTGGCAATTTTATTAAGGTGTTGCCGAAGCTACGTAATTTTCTGATAAGAAATAAAACTTTGTTTAATTTATTATTAATTATTTATTGGAAACAATTCCATTTTGATATGTTTTTGAAATTGAAATAAAGGTCGGGGTAAATTTTGTGATTCTATGTTGATAATACTGTGGTGAAAGAAGATGTTATTCAGTTAATGATTCAGTCATACCGGAGTAAAACAGAACTCCCAGTGCCCCTAATAGGATTCGGACCCACGACCTTCCAGTTAGTAATTCGGATGCTCAATACCACCGAGCAGCGCTTAACCACAATCAGTGTCGAAATTAGATGACACATCATGTTTGAAGAGTCCTATCAATGTGAAGAATAACACTCCTGTTGATAACACATGCACCCTAAATCATTGACAAGGCCTCCCTCTCCCATTCAGAGTTGCCTCTATGTAGTTAGAGGTTCATGGAATCACAAAACAACATCATATTGTTTTGGGGGGGAGGGGAAAACTTTTGTCGCCGATTGTATGCCCATGGTGACAAACTTGCTGCACGCTGCTAGGATAGGAATGTCGATATGTGATGCTTTTGCGCAATGATGATGTAAATGTACTTATTTATTTAGTTATTTACTCCTATTCACCTTCAAAGCCGATTATGAGTGAAACTTCGATAGACAACTCAATAGCTGGGACTGAATACTACTTACAGTCGTTACCTCTTTACGCTCATTAACCTTTAGACCCCTACGAGTGACCAGCATCTAATTTCTCCGTACAATATCATTCGCCGAATCGCACAGTAGTGTCACGAGAACAAAGGAAATGATCACAAACTAAAGAAGCTTTTGATTGCTAAACATATTCTCCTTGTTAGCAGCGTGGGAAATATATAGAGAGCAGTGTACAGAATAAGCATACGGGTAAAGGGTGAAGGAATTTGTGGTTTCATCCTCCTTGAAATATTCGGTTGGGGTTTTGGCAATATGCCCAACATAAGAGTTGGGCATATTGATTATGTACAATATGAGAGATTGAATATTGTCTAACTCCTTTAAGATTTAGACAATATTCAATCTAATTCCCTTTCAGCTCTTTCATCCCAAGTCAGTATGCTTGACAAATGGCCTTTACCGAAAACCGATCACCTTCAATAAAAGTGTTAAAGTTTCTTGTCTCACCATCAATTTCTCTGAAATGTTTTTAAACTAATGGCCTGGACAGTTGTTCCCGTTGTAACACGGTTGTTATGTTGCCATGGGTTTGGTCTCAGTGCTATTCTCTGCAGGTTAAAGGCAAAACACGCTTTAAATGCCCGGCGGTACTTTGATACCCTCCAAGCGTAGACAAAGGGATTCGCCGCAGACTTTAGAAAGAGAAGTCCTGCAAATATGACTTCCAGCTTCTTAAATGTTGAGGACTGCGCACATGGCTGGCAGAAGTAGCGAAGATGAACAACTATAAACTCGGGTAACACAGTGCCGTAAAACAAAGTCAATACCAAAAAAGTTGTCACTGCCATGCGTCTTTGGTTATCCCAAACTTGCTTATTTGTCAGCCCGACGTTTCGTAAGTGTCGTTTTCTCTTCATTAGGACACGGGAAACGTTAAAGTAAATGACTGTTAGCAATACTGCAGGAACCGAGACGTGAGTGTGAGTGTAGAGAATTATGACAATTTTTTCTGGAATGCTTGTCAACTGAAGAGAGGATAAGATAAAGCCGACTGCCCACATGAAGGCGATAGCAATCTTGTATTTCGACTTTGTAATCATCCATGTGTATGTAAAAGTGTGTGCTACGACAAAGTAGCGATCAAACGACAACGTTACTATTGTCCCACTTCTTACGAACAACAAAAAAATCAGAACAAAGCGAACAACAAGATCTAGTTTGGCAGGAATCAGCCAACTCTGGTAGTGGTATAGAGCTAATACTGAAGCGAGATTCCCTGCTAGTAATCCAATAACAAGATCAGAAACACAGAGATTTGTGATGAGCATATGCGCAGGTTTATCGAGTAAGCGACGGCTTTCCTTAAATGTTGTCACCAGCAAGACCGTGTTTCCCACTGTTGTTATTAAAGAAAGCGCAAAACCGGCAACTGTAAGCCCCAGGAACAGTTTAGAATCACTGATTATCCGGGAATCGTTCGTCAAATATACCTCATCTTGTAGTTTTGAAGATACTGATTGCTCCATCGTAAAAAGAGAGTCTGAATTTTCAGGGGAAGTCAACTGTTTCTTATCCTAAAAAGTCAGTGACGTCAGAAAACATTAAAACATCCTGTTTCTAAAAATCTGTAAATAACCGCTTACGGCTAGTCACGTTTACAAACTTTTCCCGTAATCTTCCAATATCCTGCGTGGGTTATTATGCCGATAAACCGATAGAAAAAGCGATCTATTCGATTAAGCAACCAAAATAGGCGTGGTTATATATTATTAACCACATTGCAGCTTGATTGTTTCTAGGTAACCAAATGCGAAATAAGTTGCATTCTTTTTTTTTTAATAAGATTTGTTTGTGTAGGATGATGTTCGGGCTGAGATTAACCAAAATTTTCAGAACATACTAAGAACATACTTAGGCTGAGAGTCAGTCAAGTCCGTCTTTATTTCGCTCATTTTTTGCGAGAAGAGTAAATAAAGGTAAAAAAAATGTAAAACTGTGGTCTAGCAGGACAATTAACTCAAATACTTAGAGACATGTTTTAACGTTAACAATGCGTTTTCTAAAAAAGTTGTGGTTAGTCATCGTGGTGAATAACAATAAAAGCTAAGTTTTCCGTTTGTCTCACGATGTAGTCACTTTAATGCGTTTTCTTATTACATACATTGAAGAATAACCGAGATTGTACTCGAACTTAATTTATCTAATGAAATACTATGCCACACAACTTTCAGATCATGTGAAGAACATTTTCAGGCTCAAATTGCAAAAAAATAAGAACATTCAGACTCAGCTTAAAAATTATTCTAAGTGCGAAATTGATTATTTGAAAATAATTTTTTTGCCACATGACAGTTATTTGTACGACAGACAGACACTAATTTTAAGGCTCAGAATGGCTCTTTTAAGTGCTTGAAAGCAACCTGCCCCGAGCACAAAGTGATATAAAATCAATATTACATAAAAGTTGCACGAAATTTATATTTGCTCTTAAAAAAATTAATATTTCGGACATAAATTTAATGTTTTGGCAGTATCTAATCATCTGGAAAAACTATCAAAAACAATGTAACCTCGTTCATAACCAAAATGCGAATTTCGTCATTCGTAAATAAATATTTTTGCCAGGCGACAGTCCTTTGTCAGACAGTTGGACAATTTAATTTAATTTTAAGGCTCAGGATGGTTCTTTCAAGTGCCGGAAATCAATATTACATAAAAGTTTCAGGAAATTATGTCAGAACACATAAAATTTTAAATGTCAGACATAATATTAATGTTTATGCAATATCTCATCGTCTGAAACAATTCTAAAAACCAATACAACCTTGGCAATATCAAGATCCCTAAATAACCTCCATACCAAATTACCGAGTCCCTTAAATAATAAATACTCAAAACATAAATGTGGATATCGGTTAAGTGGCCAAAATGCAATATGGTACCTATTGACCAAGAGGAGAGCCGGAGGGGAAAATATTTGGCTCGAAGTCATGAAAAAGGGTCCGGGCGAGCGCAGAGAGGTGCATATGTCATGACCCAGAGCCTAGTGCTTTCCCGTTCAGCCCGACCAAACTCAGTCAATGAGCATTTTATCATAATTATGACCTCTTAGTGCTGAAACACAATTTTGTTTCAACTAAATAGGACCCGATAGACGGGCACACGTAGGATCACAAAATAAAAGACTCTACCATAAAAACTTTCCCTTATTTTTCGAGTCGGAACATGAAACTAATTTTGGTTACTTAGATAAAACCAAACCATAATGTGGTTTTTTTACTTAACCACGCTTGTTTTAGTTACATACATGTAACCACTCTAAATAATAAGGAGACATTTGGTAGCCCATATAACAATGTTTTAAATGAGAATTTGCAACCACAGCAAAACCCAGAGGCGGTCAACGCAAGAGAATTATGTTCAAAGAATGATCGCTTTGAGAAAGAACCGTTAGAAGTTTTTGTGCGAAACAGTGCAAAGTCTTCACATGTCAGAAACGTTGAGAATGCAGTCACCATCACTAAATGGTGAATATAGCTGAGCAATTGGCAATATCCCTAATAACAATCATACGCCCTATGAAAACAGCATTTAGGCTCGGTGTGGTAATTGAAGAATTTTTTTGGGAGTCAGATCTTTTTGGTTTTACAATACCTAAAAGCCGAAGGTTATATTTACACGCATTCATTCATGTTTATTCGAACTTGTCTATGAAAAAAATCTGAAATGGGAGTTACAAGATTATAAAGATAAAGACAACTTTCCCGAAAAAGTGACACTGAGTGAAAAAGATTCACAATTGAATCATCTAGCCAACAACTAGCTCATTTCGCCGTCCACTCCGAAAAACGCGCCAGCTATTCCGAATGCTTATGGCTAAATTTTCAGCATGGAAGCATGACGTTGATGACTCTTACTGTTGCCAACTTTGTATCTTAGTGCGGTTACTCAAAATCTTTTAGACAACCCTGATTAGTAGTACTGGACAGGCTTGGAAGCTAACTAGTTACGTAATTTCCTATCGTCTTTGCGCCACTTGCCCTAGTCTCAAACCCAGACTTTTCACGACGAAGTGGTTTAGGTACAGTTACACGGTAAAATCTGGGTACGAGATTACCCTTGCCCCACCTTTGCCCCTCCTTCATACACACCTATCTCTATTAATAATAATACATGTGGCCACGTGACGAAGTCCACGCAATTCTGCACTTTGATTCAGGAATTAACATGGACGCCGGAGTAGCGGGCAAAAGAAAACACTTCGATTTAGACGAAGATACAACCAATCGAAAGGTGAATTTTTTTTGTCATATCACGAACGTTCATTCCTAGTTTGTGGTATCGAGTTACCCTTGGTTGTTCCATACAAACAGAGAGAAAAGATGATCAAATATTGTATTTGTCGATCGTACGTGCTTCGTTGTAGTCCATTGTTTTGATTATTATGTACATCTACTACAGGTTTTTTTCGCTTTTTTTTTGTTGTTTTCGCAGAAGCATCTAGCTGAGGATGACGAAAAGAAACACACTTCGATAGTGTTTTCATTAAAAGAAGAGGTTGGGTCGCTGGCCCGAGCTCTCAAACTTTTTGAGGTACTGCATTCATTTACCTGTATTTAGAATACTGCTTGGAGGTGCTTTAGGCGTTATTTTTTGGAGAGTGGGTGATCTAACGATTCGTTTAAAGTCAAATCCTCTGTTATTCAGTTTCTGTAAGTATAATTTCCAATCAGCATTTTCTGATGAAATTTCCGAGACGAAAGTGTTGTTAGAACGGGCCCAAGTTACTCGTAAAGTTAATGCGGTCTTTTTTTTTTTTATCTGATGCAATCATTACTAAGAGCCTCTAAATGAAACCTTGTTCGCTGTGCTTTTCGAGTGAACCTTCATCATTGCTATCACATTTCCAGATCCAAGAATTTACATTCTACCCAAATGTGGTAAACCCTCTCGCAACAGCAAAAGAAAAGTCACCAAAACTGCTCTCCAAACTTAATAAACATCTCACCTCAGCGTGTTTCATCGAGATATGAATCCCGCGGGAAGTTGAGAGAGTATCAAAGATGGCAAAGAGTTGCTCAAGGCGTAGTCGAGAGCAACTCTAGCTTCTTGAGTGCTCTCCAAATTATCGATGTGCTTCTTAATTCGATGATTGCACAGCTTGTGTCTGAACTAATTGTTTCCCAACACTTTCTACGCTGCTGTTAGGATGTTGTTTTCTCAAATATCAACATTCTTGAGGAACAAAGTGTTCTGTAAATCTGGGAGAAAAAAGCTGTAACGAAACAACAACAATTAAATAACTCTTAACCAAAGAAAGAAGTTATAGTTTTAGTCAGAATCTCTCTCTCGGAAATCAAGAAAGAATCATCATGCAAATTTGCCGGATTTATCGGATAACCGTGTAGCATTGTGTGAAAAAAGACTGAAAGCTGCAAGATTTTTGGGATTAACTGATGTGTTTTCAACTTATGAATACGCTGAATTTTTTGCATATACAGGTATGTTTTTTATTAACCTTTCAATGAGAGAAAACTGTTTAAAAGGCATGTGAAATTGTATGGTCAAGGGCAGATATAGGGGTGTATAAGAGGTTGGAAGGATAAAACTTCTCTACTTGGCTTTTTCTTTGGTCTTTTTTTAAAATTTTTGTAATGAACCAAAATTCTCAAAACATTGTTTCTTCAGAAGCATTCATGTACAGTTACAAAAACTTCCAGAATGATGTGAGCCATTTATAACTACATAAATTAACCTGTAGAAAGGAAAAGGCTGTTTGTGTTCCTGCTTAGAATTCTCCAAGGATATTTATCACACCAGTAGATTTATAGAATCACCTGCCAACTACATTAACATTTGAATTGAAAGGGTTCAAAAATTGAGTTGCACATAGCTTCATTTTGTTATCAGTAGTTAAGAAAAATTATATGGCTGACATGATTTAGCTGTTAATTAAAGGTGGCTTTACTTAGCTGAAAAATATCAACTTGACTTGGGTTCAAACTGACTATGCTCAGTTTACGTTGCAATGTTAGTATGTTTAATGGTCATTAGAGATATTATTGATTGGTAAAAATATTCTATTTCATTGTCCACAGGATCACAAGGTGAACATGTCACACATTGAGTCAAGGCCATCAAAGTGTTCTAAGTCAGAATATGATTTCATTGTGGATTGTGAAGAACTTCAAGGGGCAAAGCTTGAAAAGTTTATGGATGCCTTGAAGGGTCATGCTTTCTCAATCATGCTTCATTCAGAGGAAGGAGGAGGTATTTGCCAGTTACATATAAATAATTGACCATTTAATTGTAGATTTTCTATGCAAATTTGAATTTATTTTTCTTATTAAAATTATCTTGTTCATTACCTTTTTCTACCCTGCTCATTACTCTTAGTCTCCAAAAAACTGGGCATAATGAGAACAAAGGTAATATTAATCTGTGCATTGTCTTTCAGACAGCACAGCATGGTTAAGTGATCCCATACCATCAATCCCTATTATAATATTCTGACATGTAATGTTCCTTTTTTGGCACATTTATAACAATCACTTTTACTTCACATTTTCTTTTCGGCCAAAAATTTGTTTTGGGCAGTATATTTCAAAGTAAAGGCAAACTGATAGTTTTAAAACTTGCAGACAACACATATAACATGTTATCTCACTG